GATTAGGGCTATCAGGAAAGGGACAGCTCAAGATTAAGTTTTCAGAAGTCAAACATCAAACATGTGGAGCCTGACCACTCATGACAATAACAAACACAATTATGAAAAATTGACATTGGCACTGGCTTGTTTTTATGTAAACACACACTAACAGAATGAGCAAGTATTAATCAAAACTGGTCACTTGAAAGTGTAAGGAGTTAGAACACAGACTGGAGCACAACATGCAGACAGAAAGTCCTCCTCAGTTAGTTCTCTAGTATGAAATCTGAGAAAGAAGATACCTACTAAGAAGAACTCCTGGTAGCTAACTGGGCTCAAATGTTTAAAAACAGTCTAACAACTATTTCTACACAGGGGCCTCTCATGCAAAATGCACATCAGAGAAAAGCCTGCACTGTGTTTCTGCCATCTAGCCAGCTCTTATAAACAGGAATTCCTGGGATTCTCTTTCAACCAATAGGACTGAGGCTGTCTGCATCCATTTGGAGCTACACAGCTCCAACAAACCAGAGTAGCTCTTTTCTAACCAATCAGAACAGTGCATCTGGGCCAATCAAACTGTGAGGACTTGGAGTCCTTATTCACATGAGGAAGGACTAATGGTGGGGACTCCTATCCAAATAAACAATCTCCCCTCTGGCTCTGGGAGCACACTTTCCCTTTCCACCGAAGACTGAAGATTGCATCCCCCGGACTGAGCTAAAACACTGAAGATATCTCGTCAGAGCAGAACAGACCAGCACAGCACAAAGCAGACTGAGAAGGAACAGAGCAGAACCAACTATCGAAGAGCACAGTAGAGCTGTGTAGCCAGAGAGGGGCCTGGCTCAGGCTGCCAGGGCTGTCCTATGATCTTGCTGTTTTCTTAGCCATGCTGTTTTCACAGTTGTGCTGTATCACAATTAAGATGTTTTGCACTAAATCAAGTTTTCTTCTTCACCACACCCAAAACTGGGGATTCCTATTGGCATCAAATGGCAGCCATGATCATCTGTTGACATTTGCTTAGGAATTTTTCATTTTCCCATGCATTATTTATTTAAAATATAAAAATTTATACAAACCACATTTACCTATGATTAATCATTACTATTAATAAAATATTGTTTTTTAAACTTAATCTTTTTGATATATGAAACCACGCCAAGATTTAAACAATAAATTATAGAAAAACGCAAACCATAAAAATTTATGAATCTCTTTCTAACTAAAAGAACAAGAAACATTATGACAGTTTTCTCTATATTTCATAATAAGGATACATAAAAGAAATAAGTCAGATATAATACATTAGAGATTTGCAATTAAGCTCTGAAATGTACCAGAAATTTCAAATATTTGCATAAGCTTACATAAGCCTTGATGTGCTTTCTCAGTATGAAAATTGAAATTTGATTGCTTTTCTTTCCTCCTCACACCCAGAAAACAGCAGTTCGTTTACCTTAGATATAGTATAGTGTTTTACATGTCAGAATTCTTTAGGGAGAGGCATACACAAAACTAACCTAAAATTGGAAAAAGCACCTGAGAATTTAAAAACATCCATCTGACATCTTCGGGTTCTTTGGCCTTAAAGGAACCAAAATTCTATGGTTTCTTTCATAGGTTCTGTTTTTGATGAAAATAGGGCTCTTTCATAGGATTGCAGGGAAAGCATTTCAAGGACCCACACATGAGTATGGCAAGATGGTTTATTAGTGTGGAAGGCTGCCCCTGGGTCCCCTCTCTGTCTCTCCCATCGTATAAAATCAGGGCCAGAAATAGAGTGAGTGTCCAGAGATCCTGTGTCATATAAAGCTCATTTCAGTCCAGCATCTGGCTAGTTTAGCTTCTACTTCTAGCTGCAAACCATTGTTATGCTGAGGTATTCAGGTTCCCACCTGGAGCCTGTGAGTGAAGTCTGTGCAGCCATTGGCCATACAGCGGCTAAGTCCACATGGCTATGAAAAGAGGACACCTAAGTGAACAGGGCAAGTGCAGGTCATGAGCAAGAGAAAGAGAAAGTGTGCTCCTTTGTTCCCCAGGGATTATATTAGCTTGGGTTTGGGATGGACCAGATGCTTTTTCAAAAGAACCAATCAACTTCCCAAATTTTCATGGGCTTTTTGATGGGTCCACCCCCCCTGGCTAGACTGGCAGCCCTCTATGATACAGCACCTTCCCCTGCACCCCAACAAGCTGGTACTGGAGCAAGGAAGGAAGAATTGTTAATCACCTTGGTGGAGAAATGCTGTAATCCCCTGGGTTGTGAAGCTGTAGCTTCCTGGTGAAGCAAACAGGCTCATGCTCCCCAGTTTATTAAACTCAATGTCTAATTCCCTTTGCTCTCTTCAATAATATCTAGTTAACTACCTATGGCAGCAGTCCCCAACCTTTTTGGCACTAGGGACTGGTTTCATGGAAGACTATTTTTCCATGGACCAGTGGTAGGGGAAGATGGTTTGGGGATGATTTAAGCACATTACATCTATTGTGCACTTTATTTCTGCACTTTTACATTATAATATATAATGAAATAATTACATGACTCACCATAATGCAGAAACAGGGGGAGCCCTGAGCTTGTTTTCCTGCAACCAGACGGTCCCATTCGGAGGTGATGGGAGACAGTGACACCTGAAGTGTCAGATTCTGACTTAAAGCCTGCCACCAGATGCAGCTGTATAATTTAAGTACATCAACTCACTTGCCACTATAAAGCCTGCCACCAGATACAGCTTAATTGTCACTTACCACTCACTGATAAGAGTTTTGATATGAGTCTACAAGCAATTGATTTATGAAGGTCTCTCTGCAGTCAAGCCTCTCTGCTAATTATGATCTGTATTTGCAGCTGCTCCCCAGTACTAGCATCACTGACTCAGCTCCACCTCAGATCATCAGGCATTAGGTTCTCATAAGGAGCACACAACCTCGCATGTGCAGTTCATAGTAGGTAGGGTTCATGCTCCTATGAGAATCTATTTCTGCTGCTGATCTGACAGGAGGCGGAGCTCAGGTGGTAATGTGAGAGATGGAGAGTGGCTGTAAATACAGGTGAAGCTTCCCAAACTCACTCAACTGCTCAACCACCACCCACCTCCTGCTGTGTGACCAATTCCTAACAGGCCACCAATCCAGTACAAGCCCAGGGATTGGGGACCCCTGACCTACAGTATCAGCTCCACAGTTACCTTGTGTTACTCACATGGTGTCTCTTAATCAACTTACATATTAAAAGCCCAAGTACTAATGGAAACTAGAATCAAAGGGCTATAATACTCACTGGAGAAAGAAATCCAACAAAAAGAAAAATAAATGTTGGGCTGGAATCAAGATAGTTCAGAAAGAAACCCACAATCAAAAAGGTGAATATAATCACAAACAAGGGGTACAGACACCCCTAGCTGAGGCAGAGCCCCTGGAGGGGGAAAGATGGGAAAGACGCCTGAGCAGCCCCATAACTGAACTCTGGGAGCTCCACACACCCTCTCCTTTCCTGTAAGCACAGAAGTGCTTCCTCCCTCAGGCTTCCATTCTCAACGTGGGGAAACTCTCAGCCAGACTGAGTTAAAGTTCTGACCAAATGAACCCCCCATTCATAAACTTTCTGTCTATAAGTTGGAACCCCTGGTCTACATAGACTTTCTCAATATGCATAAATTACACTCTTAAGTCAACTGCACTGGTGATGGGAAGTTCATATATAAGATCGAAAAATGTTCAGGCCTTAGAAACCACAACCTCAGAAAGGGTATCCCCGCTCCCAACCCCATGTGTATTTGCATCCCCAGCTTTCCAGGGCTGTAGCTTCTCTCAGTGTAAAGGTTCCTACATGAGGGGTGCAAACAGGTAAGGTACCTGTAAGAGGAGGCTCCCCGGGAACAACAACTGGGCCTTCAAGTACTTCCCTTCGCAGGCTCAAAGGAGTCTTAGCTTGGGTCACTGACCATAGGTTTCTGCTCCCATTGGACCACTATTAATATTTTAAATGACAAAAACCCAGAATTTGAACAATCCAGCAAAGTCACTTAAATAGAGAATTTATATGGAAAGGAAAAAGGAAATTTTAAGGGTTTTTTCCCGGTTCAACTAGAAAACCTCAAATATCTATTCCTTTTAGTAAAAAATGTCTAGAATTAAAAAATTAATTATATTTCTAGAGAAACAAACTGGTTTGGAAATAATTGGTCATACTTGAACACATCTGCTCTGTAAGTCTAAATGCTGCAATTTGATTTGAAAACCCCAGAAGTGAAAAACAGACCTCACATATTTACTACACATGCCCAGCAGAAGAATGAAAGATACAAAAATAAAATGTAATCATGGAACTTTTTAAAAAATTCACCTGTTTTTTGCACGTCTAGAACTAGTTATATAGTCTTTCAAGCTCTAAAACATACCCCTATTGAAAAACGAACACTTAAGTCACTAAATCTTTTCAAGGTGAGAAATCCAGAGAGGGTCTTTGCTGACAGAAGAGATCACCCAAGAAAATCTCCAAACAGGAACCTCCACCCAAAGAGTTCCCCTAGGATGTCTGTGCCCAGGAAAGGTCCTTGCTGGAGAGGACCAGGATTGCATGGAGCAGACTTCCAGGGGGTTGGTTCTTCTTGCCTTTCCTCTCATGTAAAATATCCACAACAATATGTAACTCAAAAAAAAAAAAAAAAAAAAAAGCTAACCGTGGCTCTGTGGGGAAAAAAACAAATAAAGCATTGGGTCTCTTTGAAATGTACCACGGAGGACAAATTGTTGATAATGATGCCCTGACTCCCAGAGGGAAAGTTGGCTTTGGAATTTGAGGAGGGCCGGCCAGTCACAGGACAGAAAGTCGTGATCTGAGGGAGACCCTGCTTCCCAAACATTTGGAGAATTCAGGAGAACACCGGTCCCCCTGGGGGGAAGGGAAGGACTGGGGACCCCACAGACCACAGCTGCCTCCACGCACAAACCCTGCCGTCCCCGTCACGACTGTCCACAGATGACCACCCCCTCCCCCATGGTCATCGCACCATCTGGGGACAAACGGTGCTGCAGGTGCACAGCTGCCCAGATATTCTCAGGAGCCGAAGTCGCCGCAGATAGTGACGAGACAGGACACCAAGGATACGTACAGGCGGCTGCCCCAGGCCTGACGCTCCAAGCCTGAGAGGAACGAGGTCCCAGCGTCGCGCCCAACCGACTGCAACCAGCAGATTCCCAAGGTGTAGCGGGAAAGCCGCTCCGAAACCGCCAATTCCAAGGGGCACTTCCTCGTGTCTCCGGACCCCCGCCTGCACACTCACCATTTCTAGGTTTCCTGGGTCTCCCCGAGTCTTGCGCAGGACTCTCAGGATCAGTGCAGATCACAGAAGACACAGGTTGCGGAAAACTCACCAAAAACCTTGCGGGGAAAGATACCGACGCCTGCGGCACCTCTGAGGTCAGTTGGGGTGTCCCAGGCTTCTGGGTATGTCGCCCCACCCACCGGCCCCAGTGACATCCCTGATTGGGCAGTTCACAAGGCCACGCCCCCTTGTTCCTGAGTGACAGCTAGAGGAGAACCCGGGTTTTTGGCGAACACTTTTCGCTGGTGGGCAGGAATCTGACCCTCAGTGGTGCAGTAGCTTTTAAACAGAACTTTTTCCCCGGTTTGGGGCTGCCGAAGTTGTTTTCACCCAGCTCTATGTGACCGCTAGGCTACTTGGTTGCAGACAAAAGGGTTAAGCTAGGCCTTACTGAAGCAAAAGTGTCTTAGGTCTTCTCAAGGGGTTGTGATAGGAGACTCAAGAGTTGGAAAATTTTAGTTTAAGTAATAGCTAATAAGCTTAGCAATCAATGCCTGTAAAAGCTATTGTTCCAGGAACTGAAGGTATGACCCACCCTGACTCCAGGAGACCATAAGCAGTTCCACCTTTGTGCCTCAGGAAGACTGCAAGCAATTGGAGATGGCATCTGAGCCATTGTACTCCAGAGGGAGAGGATCACTGCCCAGGACACACCTAAAGACCACCACCCAGGGCAAGAATGGTAGTTGTTGTTTTTTTTTAATCCAGTTAACTTTCCCCTGAATTCCAAACCCCTTACCTCCACTTTGTTCTTCTTATAAAAAGGGCCAATTTAGAATGGAATTTAAGACTGTCCCTTAGGGTACCAATTTAACAGGGTGCAGCCAAGAGGGGGACCCCAAATACGGATTTGGAATGGGGTCCAGAACTCAAGGTGCCCAGGAAATATTAAGATGTCCACACCCGCCCCCAGGTGTGAGTTGGGGGAAGGGACAAATGGAGCAGGGCCATTGAGAGCTGTTTTGCAAAGCAATAGCTTTGCAGCTAACCTCTGGTGTGGTCATTTAACATATCTATTACCTTTGCATATCTATGCAATCTAACTGGTTGCATAGATATGTTAAATAGCTGTGGCCAAGCTCTGAGCCAGGGGAATGGAAGTAACTTCCCCACCAAGATGCAACTGGGGGGCAGGTCCCCCGAGTTACAGCACCTGTGTGGGGGCTTAGAGATGATTGGCTCCATGACATGGGGACAGGTCTGCCCAGACCCACGATGGCAGCCCAGTAAAACTGGAAGGCTTTGAGAATGCTGGCAGGTGTAACTGAGTGTGGGAGGAGTCAGAAATGCAACTGCAGAGGAAGATTGGTGCCAGACACGACAGCCATTGAGAAGGGAGAACCATGAGGCTGTGGCAGTGCAGAAGAGAACCACTCGGTCTTTAGCAGAGTGAGGACTCCCACAGCCCTGCGAGAGAGAATCACCATGCGGCTTTAGCAGAGAACCTCCACTCAGCTTTGGCAGAGTGGCAACCCCCACACCTGCAGCCACTGGAGGAAGAACCATGTGGTTTTGGCTGAGTGGGGACTCCCTGGGCCATTGTGCAGAGAGAACCACGCGGCTTTGCCAGAGTGGGGACCCCGGCAGTTTTAGTAGGGGGAACCACCACCTGGCTTTAGCAGAGATCCCAGCAACATAGCTGATGGTGCCAGGAACCGAGGGAGGCCTACCAGCGGAGATGGATTACTGAAAAGAACCACAAGCTGCCTGAGCCACAGACTTATATTTCTTTTCCTGAGATACGGTACCCCAGACTGGGCAAAGGGGGGAAGGAAGGACTGTGTGTGTTTGTGGCTGTTTTAAAGGACTTTGGGATTTTGATGAAGACATTAGGTCACTACTTTAAGTTTGTATAGCATTAAATAAACATTTCCTTTTCTTTTCACGAATCTCTGGCATTGAGAGATGTCTTTTCTCTGGCATTGAGAGGTGTCTTTCCTCTGGCAGCAGACATAACAAATCTGGGGGTTCCTTTTGGGTAACAGTATATCATCCCAGGCCACCCTTGTTGTTCTGTAACACCAACCTACCATCTACTCAGATCGCTGACCTTCTGAATAAAGATTCAATCCCTGTCTCTGTTCATTGGACAGGGTACGCGACAGGGAGGATGAACACAAGGTATCTTTGCCAGTTTCAGTTGGAGTGAGGCTGTGAGGCCACCATGACCTTTGTTTAAAAACACAAACACTGAAAAGTGACACAGCATTTTTAAGTAAAGCCTGGCTCCACTTTCATCTTTGATCATTGCAAGCATTGAGCTTTGTACCCATCCTTTCCCCACCCTCACTCCTTTGGTCCTTAACATTGTCAATGAAAGAAACATCCAAACCTGTAACAATTTACATGAATTTCTTTGAGCCAAACTGACAATTGCCAGAAGGCAAAAACTTCCAGGGATTGAGGAAATACCCCAGAAAAAAACCACAGTTTTATTACTTATTTTATACATCAGAATCAAAGGGGAAGATGTTAGAGGGTTACATAAAATCCACTGGTTATAGATTAGGGAGGCAGGAGAAAGCAAAGCAAGGAAATCTCTGGGACTGGATAAAATAGACAAACTTTACATAGGTGGGTATAGGACTGTTAACAGTTAATTAACATGATAGTAATAGTAACAAAGAGGATTTGTGGACGCTACTCTGATTGGTGGCTGTGTTTTTTGTGACAGGAGAGTACAAAGCTAGGCAAATTCTTGGGCAAGAAGAATAGGGAAACTGAGACAAGAAAATTAAACAAGGCTGAACTGTTGGAGCAACTGCAGTCAGCTAGGGAATCGCAAGATCTTATCTCCCCTAACCAAGAACACCTGACAGCAAATGGTTTCTACCTCTTCTCCCTAACCAAGGAATACGTAGCCTAAATCTCCCTGGTTTGGGAAATAGGGAACAGAGACCCAGTTAATATTATTTGTGCCAGCTAAACCCATGGATAGATGAAGTCAGGGTTACAAATTAAAAAAAAAAAAAAACATTAAAAGCCAGACAAACACAAGAGGCAAGTAAAACAATACAGTAGACCTAAGACCAGTCCCAATACCCCCTCCCCCCATACACTCATTTTTGAAACTGGAGAGCAACCAAGGCTTGTGCTGCCTGTCACCGCCTGGCCAAGAAGCAGAAAAAGAGATTGGATTATAATTGTGCTTTGATTAACATCAGAGGATAACAGTTTTAGAAGGTATCAGGTTAAAACCATAACATACACCTTACATTTGGGGGGCAGGGAGATTCCTAGGGGCAGGGCAGGAGGGCTATTTCTCTTGGGAGGGGGAGCTGAAAGGGAAGTCTACAGCTTCCTAAGCTGATTCCTTTGCTCCAGTGTTACTGTAACAGGGTGCAGCCAGGGCCCACCCCTCCCCCAAAGAGGGATTTGTAATGGAGTCCAGAACTCAGGTTGTCCAGGAAATATTAAAAATATAGGATATCCTCACCCCCATAAGTCTGAACTGGGGAATGGGACACATGGAGCAGGGCTATTGAGTTATTTTGCATATCAACAGTTTTGCAAATAACCTCTAGAATAGTCTTTTAATATATCTATAACTTTTAACTGGTTTCATGGATATATTAAATAGCTGTGGCCTTGCTTTGAGCCTGGGAGATGGAAGTGACTTCCACCCAGGATGTAATTGGGAGGCAACTCCTCCTAGTTACAGAGCCTGCATGAGAGGTGGAGATGGATGCTCCATGCCACGGAGCCATGCCTGCCTGGACTTAGGATGGCAGCCCAGAAAAGCCGGAAAAATATGGGAATGCTGACAGGTGTAGCTGACTGTGGGAGGAGTCGGAAATAGGGATGCAGAGGAAGATTCAAACAGGGATTTAAACTCAGTCACAGCAGCCATGCGGGTCAGAATCATGCGGCTTTTGCCAGGTTTGGAACCAGGCAGCTTTGGGTGCTCCCTTTGCCACACAGAGGAGAGACCTTGCAGGGAAGGAAAGGAGTAAAAGGACTCTTGCTGATGGGCCATAAGAAGGTGTCACAAGATTTGGGATTAAGAACTGGAGATCCTGGCGGCACAGCTGATGGTGCTGGGAATCAAGAGAGGCCTGCCAGTCAAGCAAGGATGACTGGGAAGAACCAGGGGCTACTGGAGCCAGACTTCTATTTCTTTTCCTGAGATAAGGCACCCCAGACTGGCCTGACTGGGCAAGGGGGGGAAGGAAGGACTATGTGTGTTTGTGGGTTTTTTAAGGGACTTTGGGATTTTAACAAAGACATTAAGTCATTACTCTAAGTCTGTACAATTTTTTGAATAAATAGTTCCTTTGATTTTTACCAATCTCTGGCACTGGGAGTTAAAATTCCCTGGCAGCAGTTAAGGCAAACCCAGTACAGGGGGCCCTGGGAGAAGGGGGGTCCATTCAATAATAGTAGATCATGCTCCTCCACGGGTCCATTCTGTAACATGATCTCTCTGTTTGCATTAGAATTCCTCTTTTCTTCCCTGGAAACCTGTGGTTTATGGCCAGGGAGGTTCTGTATTCTCTATACAAGTTTATCAGATATATGAATTTTGCAAAATTTTCCTCCATTTTGTGGATTGTATTTTCACTCCCTTGTTTTAAAAGTTTAATTTTAATTGTGGAAATATGCACACAGGATAAAATTTACATTCTCAACATTGTTAAGTGTACAGTTCAGTATATAAAGTACACTGATATTGTGAAACCAATCTCCAGAACTTCTTTCATCTTTCAAAACTGTAACTCTATATGCATTAAAAAAAACTCCACCTGTTGAAATGGAAATCTCATGGAAAACCCCTGCTGTTTTAATTTTGTTCTATTCTATTCTATTCCATTTTAATAATATTCTCTTGTTTTCCTATATTTATTTTCTGCTCTAATCTTTATTATTTCCCAAATTTTGCTAACTTAAGATTTAGTTTGTTCTATGTCTAGTCTAAATCATAAAAATGACCAATATCACCATCTTCTTATTAATATGATTCACTGGGCTTGTGACAAATTAAAGTAAGCTCCATCACATTGTTTTTACCTTGTAGTAAACAAGTCTTATGACTACCAATCACATAAGTTTACCTCCGTATGGCATTCAATATGCAAACACATGTTTGTGCCTTTAATAACCATCTAATTATCTAAAACAGGCAAAATCCCATAAAAGTCCTGAGAAGCTTTTTATGTTATGCCCCACAGTCATGTACACATTGTGGTTGTGCTTATTACAACTCGTCATGCTCCCGTCTTTGACACCACATACAGTCCTGCAGGTCACAGGTTAGAGGACACTGGAAAAACTGAGTTCAGGTTTTGGGATCAATTAGTGTCATGACAAAAATTGTAACTATAAAAGAATAAAACACAAAATGTACCTGTAAAAAAATTACGTGAATTTGAATGCACACGATAAAAGTGAAATAGTGTATAATGATTAAATCAAGAAATTTGCAAAGTTTATTTTAACATTCATAATTATAATGGGACATATTAACATTTAAAAAAACTATTTGTCAGTATACAACAGCCTAGAAAACAGTTAATAAAATATTTTCTAAAAGACCTACAAAACTGTTCATGTAACAAAAAAATACGTGGAATTTAATTACATACAATTGAACGTAACTGAAAACACACTGAGGGGTTACATTCAGCTACAAGTAACAGGAAATACTCACAGTCTCCCAACAGGAGAAAGGTCCTGACTATCACATGGACGGGCCGGGTCAAGGCAGCCACTGCACATGCAGCAGAGAAACACTGTCCCGTGTGCTTCTTGACAGCATCATGGCAGATGTCATGTGCAATCAAGAAAACATACTCACTATCCCTAGTGACAGCACTGTATTTCTACACTATTTAGATTTTATATAGATAAAACTAAAGAAGAGGGGAATCAGACATAAACATGAAGCATGAACCAGTTTCCTGGTAAACACAAGAGGGCTTACAGAAAAATCCAAACTCTGATGCATCTTTGATGTGGCATTTGTGAAGACATCAGTGGAAACCCACGAGTCTCAGAAAATGGATATCGAATAGTTGGTGATGGTGTTGAGGATGGTCTTGATTGGAAGGTCAAAGAATTCAGTTATGGTGGGCTGGAAGATATTTTCAAAGATCCAATGTATTTGTCTGTTAGTCTGAGTGATGGTTCCAAAATCTGTCTAATGCTTACTTCATATTTGCCTTCCAAATCTCATGCAAGTGAGGCTACTAAGGAATTTTAACATGAACCATAAAGGAGATTGAGTCTAGAAAATCAGGGTCCTACCATTACCAATAAGAGAATCTCCAGCTCTACATTTTGTTGCTCTATCACAGGTCCTTCTTTTTAACACAAAGTCTATTCACCAAACACCAGTTAGAAGAAACAACAAAGATCCAAATGTGAAAATAAGAATTCACATGAATCTATATTCTTTTCTAAACTTGCTATACATAAAATTTATTCCAACTATTTATTAGTAAGAAAAATAGAAAAAAGGTCTTAATATATATTACCACCCAAAAGGAGCTTTGTCAGAGGGAAAGGTAGAATATATATAATGGACTAGGGATTTAAAGGGTGGCTTCAGGTCACTAGGAAAACTCTGACACCAAATGGTCATTTTTCAAAGAATAAATAGAATAAAATGTTATTTAACAGAATAAAATGTTATTTAAAATTTTAACCTAAGTACATATATTTTTAAAAAAAAAAACAAACACTTCATTCATGGATCTAACAGGCTTCAAAATCCAGAGAAAATATTGTTAAACATTTTAGGGAAAAAGCGCTGCCTATTAATCTTATGTATTATTTTTGAAAAATGTCTCTCTGAAATATCTTATGTATTTATTTCTAAAAGTAATTAGTAGAAATCCACAGTCCAATGATGCACTATTAGAAAAGGTTCAACAAATACAATATATTTACAACATTAATCAGAACTGTTTCATGTTGAAAGTTTTCTAGAACATTATACCTGAATTTTTATCAAGCTTTCTCATGTAACTTACTTCTTTTATTCCTTCTTTCTTTGTTGGAGTTTTCACATGCAACAATGTGGACCAATTCAAGTCTTTTCCAAGCTGTTTATATTCAAGAATTTTAATTTAGTGAGTCCTTTATTATTTTGATAGGAACTGCAATAACTGAAGCCTTTCCCAAATTCTGCACTTTTCTATATTTTTTCTTTAGTGTGTATGGTCATGTGTCTTCGAAAGGTTGTGTAATAAGTGAAGGCTTTCCCACATTGTTTGCATTCATAGGGTTTCTCTCCAGTGTGGGTTCTTGTGTGTGCTTGTAAGGAACTGTGATCTCTGTAAGCTTTCCCACATTGTTTGCATTCAAAGAGTTTCTCTCCAGTGTGATTTCTCTCATGATTTTGAAGATCACTGGGATACCTAAATGTTTTATTACAGTGTTTACATTCATAGCATTTCTTTGCAGTGTGGGTTCTTTCATGCTTTCTAAGATAACGGAGACAACTGAATCATTTGCTACATGTTTTACATTCATATGGTTTCTCTCCAGTGTGATTTCTTTCATGTGTTTCAAAACTTTGATACCATCTGAAGGCTTTCCTACATTCCTTGCATTCATAAGGTTTCTCTCCAGTATGAATCCTTTCATGACTTTGTAAGGTACTGGAATATCTGTAAGCTAGCCCACATTTCTTACAGTCATAGGGTTTCTCTCTAGTGTGAATTCTTTCATGTCTTTGCAAGGTAGTATAATATCTGTAGGCTAGCCCACACTCCTTACATTCATAGTGCTTCTGTCCATAGTGAATTTTTTCATGACGTCGAAGATAACTGACACAACTGAAGTCTTTACTACATATTTTGCATTCATAAGGTTTCTCTCCAGTGTGAGTTCCTTCATGTATTTGGAAGCTTAGATGAGAAATAAAAACTTTTCCACATTCCTTACATTTGTAGGGTTTCTCGCCTGTGTGAGTCCTTTCATGTGCACGTAAGGCACTGTGACCTCTGTAGGCTTGATCACATTGTTTACATTTATAGGGTTTCTCTCCAGTGTGAATTCTTTCATGTTTTTGAAAACTTTGATAACATCTGAAGGCTTTTCCACATTCCTTACATTCATAGAGCTTCTCTCCAGTAAATTTTCTTTCATGTGTTTGGTAATTATGATAATATCTGAAGGCTTTTCCACATTCCTTACATTCATAAGGTTTCTCTACAGTATGAATCTTTTCATGACTTCGAAGGTAACTGAGACAACTGAATGCTTTACTACACATTTTACATTCATAGGGTTTCTCACCAGTGTGGCTGCTTTCATGTATTTGAAAACCTACATGAGAACTGAAAGCTTTACCACATTGCTTACATTCATAGGGTTTCTTGTCTGTGTGAGTTCTTTGGTGTTTTTGAAAGGCACTGTAATACATGTAGGCTTTAACACATTGTTTACACTAATAAGGTTTCTCTCCAGTGTGGGTTCTTTCATGTTTTTCACAACACTTAGGGTAACTGAAGGCTCTCCCACATACTTTGCATTTATATGGCTTCTCTCCACAATTCTGATAGTGAGAGGGCTTGTATCCAGTGTGATCTCTGATGTGCTTATTATGGGATGACTGATGCATGAACACTTCCCCACACACACTGTATTCCCAGGGTTTTACTCCAAGAACAGTTTTTTTCTTCAGACTGAAATTTGGAAAAAGGCTGAAGTTTTCTACCTGTTGACTACCCTCTTTCCCTTCACAGATTCTCTCTACCATATCACTTCTGTAAAAACCAAGAAGTATATTATTGATTTTTTACCAATAATTTTATATTTATTAGTAGGATATTTAAACTACATTTTATACCAAAATTTTTATAGCAAAACTGTAGGTTTTTCCCTTGTCTAAATGAATTATTTAAAATTGAATATATGCCCTAGCCAGGTGGCTCAGCTGATTGGAGCATCATCCTATAAACCAAAAGGTTGCAGTTTTGATGCCCAGTCAGGGCACATACGGGAGGCAACTGATTGATGTTTCTCCTTCTCATTCTCTCTCACATAAATCAATGACAAAATTACATATCCCCAGTTAAGGATTATAACAAATAAATAAATAAAAATGCTGAATGCTCTGCAAGAAAACTTTAGCCTTGCTGTTACTAAAACAGTGATATTCACGTAGAGGGTTTATTAATGGGGTTGTCCATTTGAACTATTTTTCAAAAACTGAACATTTATGATATATAAGAAAGTAATTTAGTAGAAATAGTCTGAGAAGTAATAAATTTGAAGCAAGGGTTGTTTTTCTTGCTTCTTTTAAAAATTTTATAGAAAATGGAGATTGTCGTGTTAGAGACACTGCTTTCTCACAATGACTCACCTTTGTTTCCCCCCCTGGTGTTTGTACTGATCTTCAATGTCATGATCTTCCCATTTTCCCCCTAAGATAAAGACCCAAAATATGATCCAAAAGTATTAGAAATTATAGAAAAACTATGAGATTCTAATTCTATGATGAGCTGTGACCACTCCCCATTGATTTACCAGAGTCCTCCCTTCCTGCATTCCACACATTAGAACAACTCCGATGGACAAGAAACACCTGTCCTCTACTCAACAAGGTAAAGATTTAGTTGTCATGCTTACCTATGGAGGTCAGGTTCCAGAAGGTTTCCTGCATCACATCTCTGTAGAGCTTCTTCTGTGAAGGATCCAGTAAAGCCCACTCCTCCAGACTGAAGCTCACAGCCACATCTTCAAAGGCCACTGAGTCCTGAAACACCCCAAATATGTGCCTTGTGAGTCTGACAGCACTGGACACAAGGACCCCATTTATAGGAAGGTGTTATGCACAGAGCCAAGGTCCAAGGAGGCCTCAGCATACTGTTTGCCTATTCCAAAGAAATAACCTGGAAGATAGGGCTGTGAAAGATGTGTGTTTGTTAGGACTTAAATGCACCCCAGGGGTCACCTGCCGGTGAAGTCTCCACAACACAGGTTTGCTCAGTACAGGGTTATACAGAATACAGAAAACAAAGCAGAGCAATAAATAATGTGTGCAGAGTGGATGTGCTCATGTGCAAGCTGTGTGAGACCATAACGCCAGCTATTTACAAGGCTCACACCCAGGAACAGGTATTTTTGTTGTTGTTGTTGTTGTTGTTGTTGCTGTTGTTTTGGGGGTGAGGGAGTTGGCCGTTCCTGGACTGTGTAGCTGGCCCAGGCTTCCAAGGCCCCACAGTGCACTTACAGATGGTCTTCATTATATTCCCACAGGGTGGGAGGGGGAGAGAGAGCTTGGGCAGGGGCACATTCTCACATGCCACACAGAAAGTTACATATGATCTCTCATCTTCAAACACTTATTCTTATGACTTGGTCATCAGAAAGTTACTCTGTCCACAATTATTTCCTTATAAATTCGACAGCATTATGAACACATAGAAATCACACACTTTTACTGTGACCACATTACATCTTGCATTTTTCTAATGGCAACATTCAGAGAATGCTGGGACTGACAGAAATGCAATTCAGATGAAACAGGTATCATTACTTTTAAGACCATCAAGTCCTTTGGAGAAAAATTCCTTCATCTCCTTCCTCACAGCCACCATTTACAGCACTCCATAAGGCAGATGTTAGCATCTGCAATGAGGTTTCAATACATTAAAACATACTAGAGAACTACAAGCTTTTTGTTCTACTCCTGTCACCAAACTTGAGAGTCCAGGAGGCCTATGGAAATCCAACTTTTAACAAAGCCAAGCTGGCCATGTTGTTCTACATTTTTCCAGACAATCACAAGTAACCATTTGTAGCTTGCTGAATGGAAATATCCTTGTAGAGAAGCACAGCTCTTACCTGATGTAATACTTATCACAGATTCAGTCCTTCCTTTCTCTTTGTCTGATTTGATGAGTTAAAAATTTATTCGGAACTTAGAGCTCAGAGAAAAGGAAGAAGGCACAACAACTTATACAACAAAATCCTACACTCACGTGCCTCAGGGTTGCTTCTTGGCACACACGGGCACATGTGGGCAGACACTAAGACAATAATTAGCCAGAAGAGCTCTTTTTAGCACAGCCATAACAGTCTCTGCTGGGATCTGCTGACACTCAAGAAAGGTTTAGATTGCAAGGAAGTTTATTAATGTCCACACAACCACAGTGGTGTCATGGTGAACTTGCTCATGATTATAAAATATGTTAAGGGTGTAGCAGTGGTTTCCTCCAAAAGAGCATATAACATCCATTCTCCAGTCAGGAGGAAGTGTTTCCTGACCAGCCACTCGGGGGGCTGCCCTCCCTTCTGTCATTCCCAAGTTCCCAGTGGAGACAAGGAATAGCACAGCTCAACCCTGGAGCATGGGATTCCCCCACGGATGACAGCACACCCAACCCATAGGGTATGAAGGGTTATTACTGTCCCAAGTGAGGTGTCTGGACAGCGTAAGTAAGGCAGGCTCTCAAGAGGGCACTGAATAGCCTGTGAGAGAAGAGCAGGGACACATTCTTTTCCGGAGGTTACAGGGTGAGCTGGGGTGAGAGTTCGCACAGGAGGGCAGCAGCTTGCAAGGATTCAGTCACTTGTTACCACAGGAAGGGCGCACTGAGGCTTTCTCATCACCTTGTGCAGATGTGGGGCACAAGGGGAAGGAGCAGGCATGAGGTTCTAGAGCTGTCAGCAATCAATCCACAACTGGAGTAAAATATTTAAAGTTGTGAAAGAAAAATAGAAATAAATATTTCCTAAGACAACAATGGAAGTAACTTGACATTTATACAATTACTTAGAAAAAAATTCAAACCTTCTTCAGAATAAATGTATGTGATGAAGGTGGAGAATTAGAATTAGTAAATGAAGGTAAACTATCTTTTTAAATTTCTTATAATTAATGTAATTAATGAAACTTTAAAAGGTAATATTAGCAATAAGGTATATGGAAGTTAAAAACTATGGATAATTAAAATAGAGGACAATAATATGATGGGGACACAGAGGAAGGAATTGGGGACAGTGTGTTATCAGGTACTCGTATGACCAGTGACATGGTGTGGTATAACTTGACAGAGGCAGTGACTTAGTTGTAACTGAAAACTCAAGGGCAACCACTAGAAAAAGTTTTAAATAGTTATTTGTAATTGATGTGAAAAGACAGGAGATCAAAAAGAATCATGTAAAATGCTCAAAGCCAGAGAAGGAAGAAAAAATGAAAGGACAAAAAGAAACGAAGGACAGAGGCAACGAGGGAAGAACACAGGGCGAGCTGTGGTGGGCACCAATCCAACTGTCCCAGTCACCGCTTTAATCATCGATGGCCTTGCTGCACCTGAGAGGCAAGTATGGTACTACAATATGAATTTTAAAAATCACACTTAGTTTTATGTTGCCCAGAAGAAACCCACTTTAAATATGAAGACAGAGATAGGTGAAAGGTAAAGACATGGAGAAAATGTACTGTGCCAACAGTAATCAAAGGAAAGCTGGCATTGGTATATAAATTTCAAACAGTATAGATTTCAGACACACACATACAAACCTCAGCGACACAAGAACATTACTTAATGACAAAGGAGTCCATCTCCAAGAAGGCACTGCATCTTTTATGCGTACGTGCATAACAACACGGGCAAAACACACGAGGCAAGAGCTGATGGAACGCAAGGAGAAACAGAGAAATCCACTACTACAGCTGCAAATTTCAACATTCCCTTATAACAAATTATAAACTCCAGCAACAAAAAATCACAAAGGACAAAGTTAAACTGAACAGTGCCATGTAACAACACAATTCAATTTTAAAATTGTAATTGGTGATTAAAATCTATGATTTGAAATCTATACCTTAAAAGTTTAAATTGTTAACATACTTCATACAGGAATATGAACAGAATACACCATTTTTTTCAAGTTCATATGGAACCTTCACCAAGACAGAACATATTCTGGGACAAATTTGAAAGAACAGATATCATATAAAATAAGCTCTTACATAATGGGCATTAATCTAGAAATCAATAATAGCAAGAGTTGAAAAACAGCCAAATATGTTAATATTAAACAGCACACTTTTAAATAATATATGGGATCAAAGAAAAAGTCTCAAGAGAAATAAAACAGTATTTGAACTAAATAAAATAAAATTACAACTTCTCAAAGATTGTGGGAGGCAGCAAAAGCAATGCCTAGAGGATCATTTATGTCATTGAACAAATATACCAGAAAAAGAAAGCTCTATAATCAAATAATGTAAGCATTTATTTTAGAAAAAAGAGCTAATTAAACTCAAAGCATAATAATGAAAATTAGAAATCAATGTAATTGTGGGAAATCAATGGAGAAAAACAATAAAGCTGTTCTTTGATAAGATCAGTAAAATTGATAAGCATTTAGGAAACATAACTAAAAAAAGAGGAAGAGAGAAATGGCATCATAACGCTGTCATAGGACACTCTATAGTAAAGCCGCTACAGTTAAGGAGTCTCTGAGGACACGGCCAGGTGTGCCTCTTCTATGGCAATTTAATCAGTCTAGAGCCCCCTGTGGTGGAGGTGCCCACACAGGGTAGGCAGTTACAAATAACAGCACAAATGGGCTCAAGCAAAATTTGTAAACCAGGACTATGTCGTCTTCCAACCACCCAAATAACCAAGACAATGTTGTGGATGCTAAGAGGAACTATAGCTATTTCTTTATGTTTGGAGAAAGGGAGTGACCTTCTGTTTATTAAATAATTTTCAAAAATGTAACCAAGGGCTTGGGGACTCAAAATATGTGTGAGACAACTGTACATCCACTTTTTATGAGCCCACCTGTTCCATTACATGTATGTCCTACATGTCCAACAAATGTGCACAAAGGAAACTGTCATAAATGTAATGCCGTATCTCCTGGAGCAAAGTAAATGAAGTTCAAATCATACCTAAAAAAGCTGTGTGCAGTGACAGTGGTGCTGAGGTTCCCTGAGATAACCAGGTAAAGGCCAAAGGCAGCAGAGACTGTTGACACAGGCACAGAACAGAACAGACTTACCTAAATCCACGGTAGCAGAATGTGTACCAGTTGCTGAGTGGATGCAGCCAGTAATTTCCATAATGTTGTGGACTGGGAATGGGGTTTACTTGGTGGGACCATGGCCGGAAGGCTATGGTAAAGAACTGTGAGGTGTTATTCATTCTCTCCAGGTTTAAGACCAGACCAAACCCAGCTGTTCAAAGGAGAAGCACTGGGGGTAATCACATCTTCCAAAAAGATTTCTTACAACAGTTTTCAGTCCTTGAAGGCCCTGTTTAATTTATACCAGACCATATTAAGTAATTTAAGTAAGGCGTAGGGACCATGAAGTCCCATTTTGTGAAACCAATTAGGAAAAGGTGAAGATTTAATTTAATTTAAATTGATGAATTGTTGGTTCCAAGCTGTCCAGCTCACGATGGGATATGTTAGGACAATGGGTGCTGTCCCTGTGAGAAAAGGCAAAGGTGCCCGATGGCCAAGGCAGAGTACACCATTTCGTCCTACGTACAACAATCAGAGTTCCCCTACGATCACGGGGTGGCTTGCTTCAACTTACTGAGATCCCAGGTAGAACTGTAATTTAACCTAGCACTAAGTAATTGCATGAACATTTGTGAATTACTATATTACAGAAAGTGGTAACATTTATTCAGAACTTATATTTTTGATGCTTTAAAGCCAAGGAGAGCCCTTCGACTTCTTTTGTTATGTAGATATTTAGTGTACTTGGGATTTCCCATAGGGTCAAATTTTAGACCTTTTCCAATATGCCTTTTCTCCCATTCTTTCTCTCATTCCCTTTTGCTTTGTATTTTAGATCACTGGATACACTTTAAGGGACTGGGTATCCCCTTTACCCTGGTACCCACACACTTTTTCCTCCCGATAGTGTCAAATCAGTGCCATTGGTGTTAAAGGCCTTCCTCATGGAAATGGCTGCTGTATAGGATCTAAGGACCCTGGGCTTAAATCCAGTTTAAACTAGTGCCTTTTATGGGACACAGTGAGACCATGGGTGTCATCCCCAATAGCCTGGAGTGTCACCATCTGTGCTGTCGCAGAAGCAGGTGCAGAGCAGCCTCAGAGGTAGTTAAGCGAGCCCTCTTGTAGGAGGAGAGTAGAATTCAGCCTGTGGACTGAATTTCCCCCTCTCTCTTTTTCTCTCTTTTTGTCTGGAATAACTGTTCTTTAAAGAGTGATCATCTGGTAAGCTCACCTCATTCACAGGGGGCAATCATCCGGAAGCCCCCCTTAGACACCCTCCTATTAGGGTGACTCTAGCCTCAGTCACACCTTCAAGCTAAGCACACAGTAGGGTTCCAACCAAGACATCAACCTACAACCCTTTTAATAAGTACACCACTCCCATCTTCCTGTGTCAATGACAAGGAATTATCTAAACTCAACTCAGAGCACTCTGAATACAGCACCCAGGCTCAGTGCAATCAACAATATAACCCAGGGTAGCTCGGCTCCCAGGAGAGCCCCCAGCAAGCAGCTGCTCACAGAGCAGGAGCCTCAAGGTTCCTACCAGGCTGACAGATAAGAAGGACCAGGGGGGAAGGGAGGGCTGAGGCTCAAGTTGTCAGGAGTCAGACATCAAACATGTGGAGCCTGACTCGTCTTTATGAGAACAAACACAAGAAAAATATGCATTCACACTGGCTTCTTTTCAAGAAACATTAATAGGATGATACAAACACTATCAACATATATTTTTAGAGAAAGCACAGTAGTAGAGCAGGATATGCAGGCACTGGGTGACCTTAAGCTAGTTTCCTAGTGTATAAGTTTCTTTTTATAACTTTCCCATTCATTATTTATTTAAAACAAGTATAGAAATTTATATACACCATATTTTCCTATGATTAATCATCTTTATACAGAACTTTGCTTTTTAAAACTGAATTTTAACTTCTCTACATAAGAAACCACTCTAAAATTTAATCCTTTAAACACTGAATTATATAAAACACCAGACCATAAAAAACTCACACATCCCTTTCTAACTAAAAAAACAAGGGACATTATAGTATTTTTTCCATTCACAATATTTCACACTGGGGATGTTACAGAGCAACAAGGGGGGGGCCTCAAAGGGCAATATACTATTCCCTGAAAGGAACCCCCCAGGTTCGTTATGTCCACCACCAAAGGAAAGACATTTCTCAATGCCCGAGATTCAGTGAAAAGGAAAGGAATTTATTATTCATTTGAAATAACAAAAACTAAAGTTCCCCACAAATGCACACAGTCCTCCCTGCACTTTCCACGTGGCAAAAGGGAACACTTCCAAAGCCTCGTGGTCCTGACTCTCACCCAGGCCAAATGGTCCCAACCAAGACACCAAAGCCGCGTGGTCCTAAATAAATGTGTGGTCCCAAAGAGAGATGTCCGGTCCCAAAAAGATATGTCTGGTCCCAAAGAGAGAGATGCCAAATGGCTGCCTCACCAGGTTTAAATCCCAGCGTCAATCTTCTTCTGCGGCCCCATTTCCGGCTCCTCCCACAATTGGCTACAGCTGCCAGCAATCTGGGCAGGTGTGCCCTGTGGTGTGGAGCCACTTATCTCCAAGCTCTTCTGGATCCCATTACAAATCCCTATCTGGGGCTCCCCTCTTGGCTGCACCGTTACAGGGATACATTCAGGATTGAGTTGCATATTATAATGCATTAGGGGATGCAATGAAGCCCTAAAATAGACTATGAATTTCAATAATTTACATAAGTTTTGAGGTGTTTTCTCATATTAATGAAAATACATATGCCATTTGCTCATATCCATTAAAACAGAAATCCATTTGTCTTAGTGTGGAGGAGAAACTGTTCCATGACATGTCCACTATCTGCCCCACAAGCTGGACCCCGACCAGAGTAGAAGTTGCGTTCTGCAACTGCCCTCCTCCTTGTAGAGGCTGTCTGATTGTCCTTGATGTTCTTGAATCAGCAGCCCTTCCTTGCCTCCTGCTATGTACTGGTTCTTGGGCCAGATTGTTGTCTTGACCTGGTCAAGCATGTAATTTTTTATACCTGGGAACATTCAGTTACTAGTACCAGGAACTATTCTCCCCTTTACCCTATATAATACTTTGGCACCTACTGAGAGGCATGGGAATCCATTTGTTATTTACAGCTGCCCAAGACATGCCTCATATAAACTCTAATATTACTCACAAGACTGAAGTGGCCAGCCTCTTCCATTGGTCTTTCTCTGCCTTCCATTTATGGAGATATTTTCCAGTATTGGGGCTTTCCCCTGGCTTTGCATGTACTAACACTTAAAAATAGTGTAGCCTTTTAAAAGTCAAAATTCTCTAAAGACCTGCTCACACAAAAAAGGACCTAAAGTGGAAAAAGTAGTTGAGATCTTAAAAATACTCATCTCATATCTTCAAGTTCTCCTGCCTAAATGCAACCAAAATTCTATTTGGTTCCCCAAGTTTCTTGCCTTATTCACACAGTATCTCCCAATCAAATCATATTTTAAAAGCCCAGGTGCTAATAAAAACTAGAATCAAAGGGCTATAATATTCAAAGGAGAAAGGAATCCAACAAAAAGAAACAGCAATACTGATATCAAGACAGATAAGCAGCCTGCTTCCCTACAGTTCAGAAGGAAACTCGCACTCAGAAAGTGGAACATATTCCCAAACTTGAGGCACCGTGGTTGGGAATCCCTAAATGGGTCAGTCCCTGAGGAAGGCAGGTAGGGAAACCTGGGCAGCCCCAGGAGTGAACTCTGGGAGCACTAACACCCTCTCCTCTCCTGTAAGTATGGAAGTGCTCCTACCCCAGGCTTCTACTCTCACAGTGAGGGAAGTCCAGCCTGATTCAGTTTAAATTCTGACCCAGCATGCACTCTCAAATTCATGAACTTCTTTTCTCAAAGACAGAATTCCTGATCCTCATAGACTTCTCATGTGCACAAATTGTACTCTGAGTTCACCTATACTGTGGATGCCAGACTCAAATCCAATGTCTAAAAATGTCTAGGCCTAAGAAACCACAACCCCAACCTTAGAAAGGGCATCACCTTTTTCTGTTATGTACACATGCACCCACCGGCTTTCCAGGGCTACAGCTTCTCTCAGCATGCAGGAGCCTTCCATGGGGGGTATGAGCAGCTAGGACACCTGCAGGGGGAGGCTCCCCAGGAACAACCAACTGGACCTCCAAGTACTTCCCTGTGCAGGCCCAAGGGGACCTTAGCTTGGGTCACTGACCACAGGCTTCTGCTCCCACTAGAGTTGCTTTGGACCATTATTGATATTTTTAATGGTAAATATCCAGTGCATGAACAATCCACTGAATTTACTTAAACCCAGAGTCTATGGGGAAAAGAGATAAGAAAAGTGTTAAGGGTCTTCTGCTAGTTCAATTAGAAAACCTCTAGTTCAATTAGAATACCTATTCTTGTCAGAAATACATGACAGTTAATTATATTTTCCAGGAAAAGTAATTGGTTTGTAATTAACACAGGGGTAGGCAAAGTAAGTTTACAGTTGTAACACAAATAATACAATAATTAATAAATAATAATATAAGAATAAACCCTGTGTTTCATGTACTCACAAGTATAAACCTACTTTTGGTCACCCCTATATTGTATTTGAACACTTCTGCCCTGTGAGCCTAAATCTGGAATTTGATCTGAAAACACCCAAAAGTAAAAAAAAAAAAACAAAAAAAAACCAGACCTCAAAAACTTACTACACGTGCTCAGGGAAGAAAGAGTGAAAGAAAAATTCTGCACAAATGAAATGTAATACTGGAATATTTTATTTTTTTGTGAAATTCACGTCCTTCTTGCCTGTTTAGAACTACTGTCTTCCAAGCTCTATAATTAAATACATTATACACTTACTGAAAAACAAAGACATTCGTAAGCAAGTTTTTTCAGGTGACAAAACCAGGGAGGAAAGGTGCTCACAGGCCAACACATTTCAAAGAGAATCCTCCACCCTAAGAACTTCGGATATGATTTCTGCGCCCAGGGGAAGGTCTGAGGGAAAGGAAAGGCGAATTCAAGCAACTTGATTTCTAGTTATGGAAGTGGTCATCCTTGGCTTTCTTATCATGTCAAATATCCGCAGAGGGAAATATAAATCTTTATAAAGAGCCATCCGTGGCTCTGCAGAAAAATAATAAACAAATAGGTGATAACGATGCAGTGAATCAGAGAGGGGAAGCTGGTATTTGGGAGGAAAATGTAAATTTAGGGATTTATTGCCAAGCCCAGGATGAGCTAGGCTGGAGGGACAGGGTCTGGATTTGAGACCCTGCTTTCCATTTGGAAAACTCAGGAGAAAACGGGCACTCCCTGGGGAGAAAGACGAGCCTTTCACGTCTTTCACGTCTTGGGGACCCAAAACACGACAGCTCCTCCCATGCACCAACCTGTGACAGACAGTGCCTACGACCCCCCACGAAGACAGAGTCAGATTGTCTGTCCCCTGGTGACGCTCCCCCTGCTCCGGTCATGGCACCATTTGGGGAGACCAGACGCAGGTCTGGGGGCTCAGAGCTGCCCAAAGAGACTGCAGGCCAGCTGAAGACACTGCATGCAGTGTTCCATGCAGTGACGGAACAGTACACCTTGGCCTGGCTGAAGGCCTACACCCCACCACCTGGGCTGCCTGCGGGGACAGATGTTCCACAGGGGGCCCGGACTCGGGTCCAGAGGACCCAGGGGAAGGCCGGTTCCACCACGCAAGGTTACAGCAGGTTCCGACCAGAGCCTCTGACCAGCGCCTCCTCCCAGACTCCTCACCCGGCCACACACTCACCATTTCTAGGTTTCCTGGGTCTCCCTGGGTAATGCCTACGACCCCCCACGACCTGTGCAGATCACAGTGCGACATAAGCTGCTGCGGAGAGGACAGGGACCATAAAGAACAGGCAACACCTCATCCTCAGCGCCACTAGATGGAGTTGGAAGGTACAAGACTTCACCTTGCGTCACCCCACCCACCTGCCCCAGTTCTGCCCCTGACTGGACAGGTCTTAAGGCCACACTCCATTGTACTGAATGACAGCCAGCAGGAGGACTCTGGCTCCTAAGAAAAGTCTTTCCGCGGGTGGGAGGGAAGCTGACTCAGCCTGGAATATTTGCATGAACAGAATTTTTCTGGTGTTGGAGCTGTGTTGTTTTTTCTCAGCAATTTGTGAACAGTGGGGCACAAGCGCGCACAAGGAATTCCTTATTCAGTTTCCAAGTGGAGCCAGTACAGACAATGCAGTGGGCCAGAATGGGCTTAATAAGAGGGTCTTAGGTCTTCTAGGTATGAAGGGCTTGGCTTAAGGCTGGAAGTCCACTCATGGAACTGTGAGTCTTGTTTAGAAACTCCCACACTTAAATGTAACTTCACGGTCTGTAATAGAGCCTGGTTCCATTTTAGTCTTTGCTGCTTGCAAGCCTGGAACATTTCACCATCCCTTCCCCAGCCCCACTCATTTAGTCTTTGAGAAAGCAACCCAGAGAATTGAGCTCTGGTGGGAAGTTGAAACCCTGAAGCCCTAACCTGGATGCAAGGCCTCTTCTCAGTCTAACCACAGGGTGTGAGATGTGCTCATTACATTCTCAAGTGTACATTTTACACTGGAAAGGAATTTAATTTACATCAGTTTTTGCTGACTCCCTAGGGAACAGTGAAAGGCAAATGACTATAATATCCCTAAGACAATTGATTCCTATTTCTTCGTTTGGACCTTGAGAAGGAAGATACCAACCAAAAGGGGCCCTAGTGACTGAACTGGACTCAAATTTTTAAAAAACAGCCTACCGGCCTCTAACACAGGAGACTGCCATGCAAACTGCTCTTGGGGAAGAAGCCTGCACTGAATTTTCTGCCTGCACTGTGCTCCTGCCATCTGAGCCAGCTCTTATAAAGGAGTTCCAAGAATCTTATTTTAACCAATAGGACTAAGATTTTTCCCCATTCAATTGGAGCTATGCAGCTATATCCCCCAGCTATATCCCCATCAGAATCTTCACTGACCAATCAGAGCAGCTCTATTCTGACCAATTAGGACTGTGCCTTTTGGACCAATAAAACTGCAAAGGATTGGAGTCCTCATTTGCATGAGGACAGGCCAATCAGGGAGCAGAGGCAGGGATTTCTGTGTATATAAGTCAGCTCCTCTTTGCCTTAGAGAGTAGTCTTTTCCTTTACACCAAAGACTGGCGACTGTGCTTCCCTGCTGGAGGTGAAAACACACTAAGGACATTGGTTAACATTAATGTATATGAAAAATAATATAGCATATTTCCAAGGGCTGTGGCTGGCTATAACCATTGGCTTGCCAACTGAATGTGAGAGCAACCTGGAGAGCCTTTGCCAGCTCAGGTCAACATAATAGCTGCAGCTGCCACTCACTTTTCCTTTTCTATATATACTTTAAAAAATGGTTATGTAAATGTGAAATGCACCTGAAAACTGTTCTCCTCCATTGGATTTATCATGGCATAATTGACTAATAAATTGTCTATATTTAAAGATTACAATGTGATTTGCTATACAAGAGGGACCCCAAAAATTCAGAATTTATTTACAAAAATTGTGTATTTATTTTTACATGTTGAAACTTCAGTCACCTTCAAAGTACCTTCTATCTGATGCAATACACTTATTGAGACTTTTTTTCCACTGTTCCAAACCGTTTTTGACCTCATCAATTTTGATGCCTTTTAGTGGTTCTGCCCTTTTTTCTTTCACCTCTTCCATATCCAACTGTTTCTTTTTGAGGACATTTTTCATCTGGGAAAATAACAAAGTCACTCAGCATGAGATCATGTGAGTAAGGAGGGTGGAGCATGGGGGTCATGCCGTTTTTGGTCAAAAAGTGCTGAACACTCAGTGCAGTGTGGGCAGGTGTGCTCATAAATCACCCTTCATGAACTGGGCAAACACAATGAAACAGTCAACCAAAAAAATTCACTGAGGCCAAACACAGCCTCTCACAACAATGCCAGTTGGCACACTGATACAGATGGGTGCCTAGAACACTCACCTAGCAGAGGAAGCCTGTACTACAAGAGGTCTGCCCACCAGAACATAATTTTGGGGTTTCTTGGGGTCCCCCCTTGCACATGCCTTGCATCATATACTTGAAATTTGCTGACAGTAAATTCCATGTTCTCACCATATACACAAAACCAAAAATAAGTGGGGTGATGGATATGTTACTTAACCTGGAAACTTTAATATACCTGAAAGATTGGATTGCAAAGCTATTTATTTATTTATTTATATCAACAACTTTCATTGAGATGTGATCCACATACTATTCACTACACCTAGTTAAAGTGTACAATTCAAAGTGTACAATTCCATGCTTTTTCAGAAAATTTGCATACATATGCAATCATCACCACAGTTCATTTTTGAACATTTTCAACACCTGGGGAAAAAAACTCTTTCTCATTTAGCTATGACTCCCACACACCCTATCTTCTCCAATCACCAGCACTGGGCAACCCCGAATGTACTTTCTATCTCCATCCAGCATTAATATGAAAGAAATTTTATCATCTATGGTCTTTGTGATTGACTTCATTGACACAGAATAATATTTTCAAAGTCATCCTTGGTGTAGCATGTCCAATACCTCATTTGTTTTTATGGCCAAATAATATTCCTGTGGATAGACACAGCACGTGCCATTTATCTATCCACCCATTAATGTACATTTGATTTTTCCCCCCACTTTTTGGCTACTTGAATAATGTTGCCATAAAATTTATATACCAGTTTTTGTTCAAACATGTTTTCAGTTTTCTTGGGCACATACTTGTGATGGGAATTGATGAATTATTCAGTAATTCTAGGTTTAATTTTTAAGAAACTCCCAGAGGGTTTTGCATAGTGCCTACACCATTTTATACTGCACCACCTGCGTGTGAGGGTCCAAACGCCTGCACGTGTCCTTGACAATGTTTGTTACTGTCTCCCTTTTTGATTCTAGCTTCCTGGTGGCTGTGAAGTGGTATCCCCTTGGGGTTTTGATTAATGACTTCATTTCACTCTAGCAGTTTGTGGATGAGTGATGACGTCCAACGTTTTTTCACGTGCTCTTGACCATATGTCTATCTTCTTTGGGAAAAGGTGTATTTAACCCTTTGCCATTTTTACATTGAGTTTTTTTGACTTTCTATAATTAAGTTATGAGGTCTCCAGATATTTTTGATGCAAGTTTCTTATCAGATGTATTTGCCAAATTCTTCCATTCTGTGGGTTGTGTTTTCACTCTCTTGCCTTAAAAATTTACTTCTAATTGTGGTGATGTGTACATGCTATAAAATTTACTTTTTTGACATTTTATAAGTGCATTTTTCAGTAGGGAGAACATTGACATTTTAAAACGAATCTCCAGGACTACTTTCATCTTGCAAAAGCGACACTCTCTCCCATTAGACAAAACTTCTCCTTCCTCTCACCCTAGTTCCTGACAACAACCATTCCACTTTTTGTCTATATGAATTTGACTACTCTGTCTACCTTATACAAATAAAATCATACAGTGTTTGGCCTTTTCTGACAGGCTGATTTACTTAGCATAATGCCCTTAAAGTTCTTCCATGTTGTGGCATGTGTCAAAAATTGCTTTCTTTATAAAGCTGAGAAAGATTCTGTTGCATGGATGTTCCAAATTTTTGAAACCTGTTTATCTGTTGATTAATGCTTGGGTAACTTCCACATTTTGGTTATTGTGATAAAATGCATCATGAACATGACTAAATATATATCTACTTGAGTCTGGGCTTTCAATTATTTTGGATAGGTACCCAAAAGTAGAATTGGTAGACTAGATGGTAACTGAATTCTTAATTTTGTGATGAATTGCCATGTTGATTTTATACTGGCAACATTATTTTACATTCCCAGCAATGGTGCACAAGGTTTTCAGTGGGTGTTTTCCCTTTCTGGCTGGTGTCTTTTGAGGCACAAAATTCACTAATTTGATGAAGTCTAAATTACCAGTTTTTAAAATTAGTGATGCTTGTGTCATATCTAAGAATACTTTGCCAAATCCAAGGTCAGGAATTTTTTCCTATGCTTTATCTAACTTTGTTATAGTTTTGTTTTATGTTTAGGTCTTTGCATCTTTTGGGGAAATTACACTATGTGGTGTGATGTAATGGTACAGCCTCTTTCTTTAGCATGTGGTTATCCGGTTGGTCCAATACCAGTTTATGAAGAAATAATTTTCCCTATCTTTGTTACCTTTTTGAAATATCAGTTGATCATAGATTCAGGAGTTTATTTCTCAAATCTCAATCTATTCCATAGATCTGTATGTTTATTCTAGTGTCAGTATTACACTATCTTGATTCCTTTCAGTTTGCACAAATTTTTGAAATCAGGAAATGTTAGTTCCACTACTTTATTCTTTTTCAAGAAGAGTTTGGTCATTTGGGCTTATGTGCAATTCCATATAAATTCATGAAACAGCTTGCCAATTTCCAGAAAGATTACAGCTGA